ACTCTAATCATGTACACTTGCTTCTGCAAGTATTTGGAAAGACTGACAATAATATAGCAGCGAACTACCATTTCTGCCCTTTCCTAATTTGAGAAATGCATCTTAGTTTCCTTAGACGCATCCTCTGCAGGTTGCTATGGCCCTCGCATTGTCAAGACAAATTTTAGCTTCCATGTTTTAGAACAATATCAAAAATTTGCTTTTCACTTATTCATAGTTGGTACCATCTAGAGGTTTTCGACTCAAAATCATTTCTAAGATATTTTCTGAAAAACATATAAAGCACACAATTACAAACAAATAATGCAATAAACAAACGAAGTGCGAGTAGATTCTCATAACTACTCTTGTTTATTGTTAACAATCCTTCAGTTTATCTTTACAAGGCTTACGATGGGCAAGTCACTTGTAAAAACCAAAATTGTTATTTGGGCCTTCAGTGCCATTGCCAGAGCCTCGATGGGAGGATTAACAATTTTACCAAAGTTGAATGTAATTAACCATTGTTTAATTTCAAAATTATCCTTAGTGTCTAAGCATTGCCGACGATGGGTCGTACAATACTTTACTAAAATTTTGAAATTATTAAGATTTAATCTAGTGAAATCTGATTATCCTTATCCGATGGGGCTTCAGCGATAACCATTTCACTAATAAACCCACAAATAGAGCCCGCAGGTTTTAAAATTAATTAATTTTTAAAACCTTCACTCATTCAACATTTTTGTTTGAGAATTTTCATAAGCCCAGTCGAATTCATTGTTTAATTTCAAAATTATCTTTAATAACTTAATATTATCGACGATGGGCCGTACAATACTTTATTAAAATTTTGAAATTATTAAGGCCCAATAAAATCCAATCATGCTTATCCGTTGGGGCCTCACATGATTATTTTATTGATAGGCCCACAATGCCCCTGGAGGTTAAATTAATTTCTTAATTTAAATCTCCTCTCATTCAACATAAGCAACATTTTCTAATTTCCAAGAATTATTTAATTGAGAGTATCCTTTGTTCGATTTCAAAAACTATATAAGTAAGAGCGCCGATAAACGTGCACTAAGCTTAACATAATTTTGAAAACATTAAGGTCCTGAAATCCGGTCACTTTACGTCAGCGTGTGCTCCAAACAATCATGATACATGAATGTTGTATGCAACGTGTGTTATTCCATGACCATTTCAGAAAACCCATAAATTACTCGCAAAATAAAAGAATTCTCTTAGGAAATTTTCTCTAATTATTTTTCTAGATTTAAATCATCCAAATAGCTGACTTAATTATTAATCTAGATTGCAACAATCATAATAATTATCATTTATGAGGATAATTTGAAATCAAAATAATTTCCATAACGATTATTTGTCTTGATGTTAATTATCCAAAATTAATTAATTCAATTATTAATCTAGATTTTTAATAAAAATCATAATAATTATTAATTAATTTCTTAGGATGATTTAAAATCAAAATAATCCCATAATAACTATCATACTAGTCGCTGAAGACATAATAGCTATTATGCTCATGCAATCATACAAGTTATGCAACAATATGACACCACCTATTCTATATGGCATGTTATCGCAATAAAGCATGTTATCAATCAATAAAAGCATTAAATAATAAATCATAATTACTTTAATCCATGGCCTTCCTATTTTAAAGAAAATTAAATTAAATTAAATAATACAACTTTGGAATTCGACTTTCGCCTAGCCCATAGTATCTGTCTCAAGCCCCTTTAGGGTTTCATGGGCCCAAAAGCCCAAAGACCCAATCTTTTGGCGAGAAACCCTAGGACGCGAAAGAGGAACCCTAGCCGTCAGGTCTGCCGCGCCGTCACCCGAAGTCAAATCAGGCTGAAACTCCAGGGGAAGGACCGCCACGTAGAGACGAGTGCACCGCCGCCAGAACCACCCAAAAATGTGGCCGGACGCTCCCTCACTCTCCCATTCTTTTCCGGAGAGTGGCGGCCACTCTCAGACGCTTGTGGAGGCGCGTGGAGGAGCGTGAAGGCTCCGATGTCGGCGATCCACCCATCGTTGCGTTCGTCTTTCCGTCCTCTTTCCAACCATATATAGATCGACCCATTCCGAGATCTTTAAGTCCTCGAAAAGTCTCCGACAGTGCTGACTGCGCATCTTCCTCGCGATTTCTCGATCTTGAACTTTTACAAAATATTGAAAAAATACACAGAAATTCCAAAAATAAACAAAAACAGCAAGGAGGAAACCTAATCATATGGGATTAGCCTCCTTGTTACAAATCGAGAAATACACGAGAGACCCTAACCATGGATTAAAGCATTTTTACCGATTAAAATTTAAACTTTTATGAAAATGAATTATAAAATACACATGCTAGATTCATACCATAATCCTAGAACCCTAGGTGCCACATTTCAAGAAGCAAAACTAATTACATGAATAGTGAAACTAGATTCACATACCAATGTACAGCCAAGGCTCTGATACCAATTGTAGGAAATCTTAGATTTATGCGGAAGCGGTTTAGGACCTAGTACATTGGTATGCTTACCGAATCATCCTTGTTTCACAATTACCTCTCGGTGCGCAGGTCTCGTGTAGAATCTTCCCTTGTAGGATTCCTCTTCATGAACAGCTCACCACAGCGCCGCAACACGAACAACCTCCTTGAAGCTGGACTGTGGCAGATCTTCCAAACTATCTCTCGAGGAGGAAGGGGAAGTGTGTGGGCACTCGTTCAGATGATGAACGTCTGCCTCTTTGGTTTGTTTCTGATGATCTGTTCACCTTGGAGGCACAAGAGGAGAAAACTATGAATATATACGCTTAGGTCTTAGACATAACTCAACCCTAAGCCTCATGGGCTCAAGTTTCACTGAAGCTCAATAGGACTTTAGTGACCAAAAGAGCATATATCCAACAACTGGTATTGTGACTAATCCTGTAATGATCCTGATGAGACTGATGTCATGTCAGCGCCACGTAGGCAATCTCGTCACCGTAAAACTTTAGAATGCCATAACTTTTGACCAGGATATTCAAATCAGATGATTTTTTTTAATTTCATATAACTTTTCTTAATCTACGCAATGACACCTCATTTAACATATTTTATCTCCCACAAACATAGTTCGAATTTGTAACAATGGTACCACAATCACAAGAGTGCTTAAATCTAGAAGCTCCCGAGTTATTTCTGAACCAACACCATGAGCTGCAACACATGCCATCAATTGACACATTTTATCTATGTAAATGCCGTTATTTAATTCCTTTTCTTATTTTTCAACTATCTAACAATAGCAAATAATGACAGTGGTTTCCTCTCCATCAACGCGCACAGGCAACAACGGATAACAACGTTTCTTCTTATGGAAAGCCTTAAAGTATTGATCTTGTTGCGTAAAAAAATTATTGTCTAAGAGGCTAAGAGTGGAAAAACTAGGCCAAGAAATCGATGGCACGTTCTGTAGCTCGTTGATTTAGTTCAGAAAGAACTCGAGAGCTTCTGAGTTTAAATGCTCTTGTGAGTGTGGAACTATTATTGCAAATCCAAACTATGTTTGTGGGAGATAAAATATGTGAAATAAGGTGTCATTGCGTAGATCTCAAAAAGTTATGTAAAATAAAAAAATCTCATCTAATTTGATACCTGAGTCAAAAATTATAGCCTTTCGAAGTTTTAAGGTGACAAAACTGTTTACATTGTGTTGACATGACATCAGTCCTATCATGATCATTGACGAGACTAGTCTGATGAATACCAATGACATATTTGATTACATTAATTTAAAAAAACATATCCAATCAAATTTTTTTTTTTGATAATCATATCTAATCAATTTTAACTAGACAATTCTTTTACCCGGAGTCTTAAAAAGGTATTTTAGCCAGTTGAAGAGTACATATCACATACCAACAAAGTCCAGCACAGCTGAGTTCCTTAAGCATGCTGACAGGAATTCGATTCCTGACCGTGCATATGGAAAAAGCTTTGTTGGGAGAGGTTTACCCACTCCACTTAATGTCATCTCCCACCTTGAAAGGATTAATCTTCAACTATCAGCCGGAGAATACCTTAAAAAATCAAAAAAAAAAAAGAGAGTACAGATCACATTAAAATAACGGCTTTTCCTCCTCTAATCCAAATAAAAAGGCAAAAAAATCTCCCAACAATAACATGATTTTCTGTTTTCCCCTAATAACTCTATTTTTAATGGATATCAACTTCTAAAGATTCTTGACGTAAATAAATCACATGTCAAAAACTTACTACTTAGCATTTAATCCGGACGTCCATAATACTAAGGATTTATTTTAATCCGACATCTCTAAGACATATTCTGTTTAAAGTCGGCAAATTAAATAACCAAGTAAGGAAGAAATAACCAAAAAGTTTGTTTTGTTAATTTTATGTTAAAGAAGATAATTTGTCTCATTTCCTAGAGACAAAATATGTGAGGCCCATTATATGTAAAAGAAAATAAAACTAAAGAAACTCACCTTTTTATTTGTGTACTCCAACAATAAGAGAAAAAAAATTCCTTTATTTTATGGGTTTGATGTTTGTAAAAAGACATATGATTATATTTTTTTAAATGAGAAAAAAGACATTAAAAATTATAAAGAAAGAAAGTGAGTATTTTTTAATTTAAATTTTAAATAAAAAATATTAATTTTAACTAAAATCATTGCAAACTTTTTCCCTTTATTTTATTTATTTTTCTCATTATTGATTGGTTTGTAATTACTCAGCCGCGCTACAATAAGAAAACAAAATTAAAAATGATCTTTCATTTTTATTTATATTATTAAAGTAGCTTTGATAAACTCACCGGAAGGAGTAGAAAACTAGGCCCGTGAGCTGCTGATTTTCCACGTGGCAATCGGAAGGCACGCACACTTGGCACGCAAAACCCGTTGTCCGTACACGAGTCCAATCCACGATGCACAGGTTTCTCTTTCCCTTTCTGAGAGTGTGTTATTGTGTGTGTATATGAAAATGAGAGGGTGAAAATAGCCACCAGTTATAGAGAGAGTACCACATCTATGGCTGCGGATAGCTTCATCCTGCAAGGTCCGTGGTCAATGGCGAAGCGACCCTGTCCCTCACAAAACCCTAGAACGCACACCCTCAACCAGGTCGAGAATCTTCTCGATGCATTCCTTGGTCTCTCCGAGTCCCCTTCTCTCTCCCTCGATCTCTCCCTTTCCCTCGAGATGCTTCTCGAATCCTTGCCCTCCGATTCCGATCAGACGGACGTCATCGATCGCGCCATTAAAATTGGATCCGTGCTTCTGGATGCAGCCAAGTATTCCTCCAGAAAGCGAGCTTCCAGACACAATTCCCTCGCTTGGCCTCTCCCTCCTGACCTTACCATCAAGGTATTTATTTATTTATTCCCATTCTTGTGCCTTATTTGATGCATTTTTATTTATTTATTTTAAATTTTATTTCAGAAATTTGTCTGTTGCGTACTGGTTTAGCTCTTAATTGGATTTAATTTCCCCCTTTTTCTGTGGAGTTATTTTTGTTGAATTGGATTATGATGGTTTTTTTTTTGTTTTTTTTTGTGTGGTGATTTGAACCGTAGGCTTACTTAAAATGAATGCGATTTGGTTTGAAAAACCAAAATGAAACTGAGAAAAACTAGAAATATGGTTAAGATTGGATTGGGAACATAAGTCTGAACCTGAACCTTTAAACAAAGGGAAAACTGAATGATAATAACCGTTTTTTTGGACTTGGCTAACCAGTCCACCTCGAAACTCCTTCTTCTGCTGCTTATGAGACACACAACATTGCTTGGCCGACCAAGGTGAAGATGAAGGGCTCGATCACCTCTGATGCACCTGCTCAATGGTGTCTGTGACCAGAGGGGAGAACAAGGGCTTGATGGCATTGTTCAGTTAAGCTGAGCTTGTGGTTGCGCTTGCCTTGTGGCTTGCCATAAGAGTGGGAGGGAACCAGAGCTAGAAGTAGACCTTGAGCAATAGTGATGCCTTCCACCTTGGGGGCTGCAAAACAACTGAAGAGGAAGTGGTTGAGGAATAAGTTTTTGTCTTTTTTCATTTTAATGCAATTTTGTTTGGTTTTTAACCAGAAACTGCACTGGGTTTTAATAGATACTAGCCACACCTGTTTAAGAGAGAGAGAAAAAAAAACGAATGGGATACAAGCCAGTTATTACGGTTTAGTTTTTTTATGGTTCAATTTGGTTTGGTTTACGTTGAAGTTTGGTTTTTTAATATTTTTTTCCGCCCTGAACTATATGTATTTGACTATGGATGTCTTGGCTATGGCAACTTTGACCCTGCTATGTTATTATCTGCATAGAATGCTTGTCATTAGTATGACTCATGATTATAAGTTGAAGTCATTTGTATGTAAAAAGATGTGTTGTTTCAATGTGTCAGTTAATAGGGCTGATTTCTTTAAGGATGCTGGAAAAGTAACTATGGAGAAAAATGCATCATTCCCTTTTCGCTTTGTAAACCTTTTTTCTTTGGAGGAACCAATTTAACCGTTATTTATCATCTGAAACTACCTTTGTCCTGAGGTTAAACATGCTTCTGCGAAAAAGTGAATTTCCTGGGTATTGATTCCATTTTGTGATGTACAGGTCTTCTCGATGCTTGATACACAGAGCCTATGTTATGCATCAGCGACTTGTTCATTGTTTAACAAATGTGCTAAAGATCCTTTGTGCTATGCAAATCTTGATTTGACAACACTTCTTCCGAAGATTAACAATTCAGTAGTTTCCACAATGGTTCAACGAGCTGGAAAGGAACTAAGGTAAAAACTTTTGCATATCACTGATCCTTTCAATACTCTATTTTACTTTTTTACCCTAGTTAACATTAGTTAACCGGGGAATAATTTATAACATCATGACTACGAAATAATCAACTAGTCAGGTGATCATTTCTCTATTGCACTTCATCATTGCCCATATAATGCAGAAAAATGGATATTTGGCTGCTTATTGATTACTTGTTTGGATGGCCTGCCTCATCTGCATTTTTCCACATTTTTTGGTCCCTGCTAGAAATTGTTGTATAACTATTTTTATAGTTTTATGTATATTTTACTATGTTAGTATAGTTAGCTCTATCAGCTAGGAAAAGACACAAACTAAAAGATTATCATCCATTTTAACCTCTGCTAACTCGTTGAGCATGCATTACATTCTTAGTCTGTATTTTTTCCTCATTTTTTGCACCTGTCCATCTATTTGAATTTGTGAATAAGGTCTCTTAAGCTTGGTGTGATCCCCGGTGCTACCACTTCTGCTGGATCTTGTCAACCATTGGTTTATAACATCAGAAATGCCATTGTAGAGGTTTCTAACTTCTCTTGGAATGATAAGAGGTCTCGACAAGGGAGAGAATCTTCCATTCTTACAAGATCCTGTTTAAGCCCTTTAAGTAGGGATGGTGGTGCTCCAGGGTATGTTGTTCATGGACTTTAGAGTTCGGTACATTTTAGTTACTTGTTTTAAATGGGCTCTTCCTTTTTCTTTTTGTAGGGCTCTTTTGAGAAAGTTGAACTTGTACAATATTGAAAGGATGGATAGTGCTTCACTTAGTGGGGCATTATCAGCTTGCCCTTCTCTGCTTGATTTGGAAATTGTTGGGCTGTAAGTTTCCCTGACTTCTTATTCTCTGACTTCTTTTCATTATAAACATTTTCTTATTGCTAATGCATGTAAGATTATCATTAAAATTGAACTCTTTCTCCAAGATGAGTTTACTTTCTTCTGATCCGGAATTCACACTTTTCTAAATTCCATTTGTCATAAATAGACTGGGAATCTTTTCTTGTGAAATGTGACTATATAGTTTTATTGGGAAAGTTCTTTGGTTTGTCTTTTTACAGTTGTTATACATATGCTGTACATACAAATTTTTAATTAAGAATGTGTCATTTCTCGGTTTTTAGTTACATTTCTGATACTTAATTATCCTCTGAAATTTTTAATATGTATCAGCATCTGTGTCTTCTTCAAATGCTCTCAACTGAAATACCTCTTATGAAAAGGTTCTTTCCAAATTATATTACATTGGCAATGATATTTTTTCCTTTCTTTATTTTTTTTTTTGAATACCAGTCATGTTGAATTGCGGCAAACATTAATGTCAGTAAGTGCGAACTGCCACATGATCGAGCGTTTGTTTTTTGAGTCTTCTAAAACAGGTTAGTTAGTTTAGCAGTTATATTTTCCCATATAATTCTCTTTATATCTCTACTTATCTGCTTTTGATTGTTAGGTAGAGATGACAGTTTGAAAACACAAACCTGTGTTGAGCTGGTGGACAATTGTCCTCACCTAACTTCTTTATCTCTTAGAGGGTTTAAGCTACATGATTATAAAGTTCGTGTGCTGGTTAAGGTATGTTCTTGGGAAATTCTTAACTATTGTACATATTGCCGTGCATTGAAATACCTGTTTAGAGAAAGCGAGGACAGGCTTATCTTGGTTTTCCATCGATACATGATTTGAAGCCACCATTTCTTATTTGAATTTTGGATTATTAATTTTAAGCTAGATGGCATTCTCCTAGTTTGGATTATTTTTTCCTCTTATTTCTTTATTTTTTTTTTTAAAATTCTCTTATGTATTTTTCTCTCTTTTTTTATCTTTAATTTTATTTTATTTTTTTATATTTTTATTTTTAAATTTTTAATTTCTATTTTTATTGTTAGTGCTTTTTTTTGTCTCAATCTTTTCTTGCTTTTCATTTGGGTTCATTGGCCTCCGATCCCAACTAGTATGGGATAAAAGTGTCGTTGATGTTGATGGCATTTTCCTATTTCTCACTTTTGTCATAAGAAAAAAAAAAACTCATTTCAAGGGCTATTAATTTCAACCTGTTCATGCAGGGATTTCGGAGATTGAAATATGTTGATTTTTCTACATCCTATTCAATCACTGGAAGCTTCTTAAGGTTTGTTAATTGTTATTCTTAACAGGATCTAACAAGAAACCTTCATATTCTGTCTATCTGTTGAGATTATCTCTTTGCATCTGTTTTGTTGGTCCCATTATGTCTTTATACGAAAACCTTTATTTTTCAGAAACCTTGGAAGCTGCAATGGTGGGAATTTGCTTGAGGTCTTAATTTTAAGGGATTGCATGCATCTGAAAGAGGTAAGAATCATAATACATTTACAAATCTTTTCTTTTTTTCTAAAGCAATTTTTCTGAAATGCTATTACTTTCATGTGCAGATGGAAGTTGCTAGGTTGTTAACAGCAATTCTTGCGGGTGATTTCAAATTGCTTGTACATCTTGTGAGTGCATAGAAATTTGTTATATTTCCAAAAAAAGCATTAAGGGGGCGTTTGGTTTAGGAAATTTTTTGGAATAGTAGGGAAATGAGATAGATAGAGAAATGATTGGAAAGATAGATAAAGTGAGATAGGTAGAAAAATGTAAAAAAAAGTTGTTTGGTGGGGAAAAACTTTACTGGGAAAATTAGGTAACTTTATGAAATCAACAGTGCATTAAAAGCCAGATAACCGGTTTTCCGAAAAATTCCACCTTCAAATTGGGTTTCTAAACAGTGCGGATATCTATGTTTCTCATAAATCCAGACAAATTGGATAGATGGGTTTTTGGTGAAAAACGTTGAAACAAACATGGTGTTTCTAAAAGCCATACTTGAAAAAGATAGATATCCGCTGAAAAGCTCCCAACCAAACTCCACCTAAGTTTCTGCTTGACTTTCAGTTTTGCTTCTAGGACTTTACCATTTCCTTTTAACAGGATATATCCAATAGGGAAGGCTTAGCATCGGAGGGTGACTGGTATCACCGGTGCTACAACTCTAGGTAATGATTATCATTTCTAGATTTGATGTCTCAAGTCACGAATTTCTGAATGACTGATGTTTTGATTGGGGTTCTATGGTGCAGTGTTATGCCTGTTAAGCAGGTTTTGGAAGCAAGGCCTGATATTTGTTTGGTGGCTGAATATCCATCAGAAGGAAGGTTAGATATTTTTCTAAGAGAGTAATTAGTTGCACTTTCATATTTGCAGATGGAGGGGCTTTTTATTTTCTTTCTAACTTTTCCATTTTTTGTGTTCGTGGATTGTGTTGCAGTTACATTGAGTCATTTGATACTGATATGAACAGTGAGATGAGTCTTCCATCACAATTGAGCTCTCATAGTTCAGATGGTTTGATCTTTTTGAGTACATCTGAAAGCAGCTACAATAGTGATCATGGTAGTGGTAATGAAGATGGTCAAGATGCCAGCTATGTGGTTTATGAGGAAAGTTCAGATGAGATAGACTTCTTGTCCCTGTAGGGGTTGTTCATTGTTTGGCATTAATAAAAAGGACAAAAATTTAGTGAACATGGTACTCTCTCTCTCTCCCCGTGTGTGTGTGTGTGTGGAATATGATTGTCCTGGAAGTTGATTTAATAAATCCTTTTTAAGGATAGATTGATTAGCTTTGTTTCTTAGTTGTGGGCCACTATGATTCTATGAGCTAGTTTGGAAGGCTTATCTAGGAACAGATATTAAGATATTTTGGTGAATGCCATGGCTGACGTGTAACCAGTTGAATCTAGTCTTTGTGTATCCTATGTTGGAAACTACAGATAACATTTTGTGCTACCTTGATTTTATCGAAAAGTGGATGGTGCAACTTGATACTTGGAAGTCAGTTGTAGCATTGTTTGCAGTCTGTTTTCCATCTAAATTCAATGTTTATTTGATATGCTTTGTTCCCCTCTTGCATTTACTAATGTTTGTGATTTATTATTTATTATAAACTAGGGGAGCGGCAGAGGAAGAAGGATGCGACAGGGTAATAGAGTGTGGACGGTGGATTTTTCTTTAACTTCGGTTTTGTCCCTGTCTTCATTGAAGTTCATTTACCGTGGAATTTTCAATCTGAAGGAAGATTGGAGGTTGGTATCAGTTTTGCTGTCGGCCGTTGCTTCCTTATTTGCGGAAATGATAAGCATACTGCCGCCATTGGTGCTCCACGCCGGCCTCATTTCTCAAATGAAATGTGCAATATTCCACTATGGATTTATTTTTAAGTCAATTTTGCACAAGATTTTCAGTGATGTATTTTGTGCCTTTGCGTATACTGTATCTAATTCTGCAACCTCAACCAATGTGTTCTCTATGCACGTGGGGCGCAAAACTGTTTTGTAGTTGAATATTAAACTGTCCTTGGAGAGGATCCTCCCATCTGATTTAAATACATACAATAATGACATTCGGTACCCGTTGCAAATATTAGTAAGATCGGAACAAGTTAGTTCAGCAAAGATGGTATGAGAAACACTCTGTATGTGCCATTGCAAGTGTCAACAGCAACTGAACAAAACGAGATTCGTTAAATCTTAATCAAGGCATGTAGTATTTAGATACATGGATGCATGCTTTTTTATGAATAGTAAATGTTAAATTTTTATAATATTTATTTTGTATTCTTACTGTTTTTAGTTAAATGTTAAATTAACAAAAAGCAACTTTTTATAATAACAACACAAAATTATTAATATTTAAGTATTAATACTATTATTTTTTTCAATCAAGTGATCGTATGAATTTTTGAAATTAGATTTACTTGAATTCATATTTTTTGCATAATTGATTTAGTTATAATCTAGTTTAAACCAAACATTAATAATACTATTCGAATTTGTTATGTAATTGTTTGTTTGGATGTGAGACGATGCACTGAAGATGGAAATGTAGGGAGATAGGAAGGTCATAGTTCCCATGTTCTCATAGAAATGCATGAACTCAATACTGCCTGATCTCTTAGCTCAACTTGTGGAAATAGAATAAATTTTTATTGCAAATGATGCAATGAAGATGTATTTATTATTTATTTTGTAACACAGAGCACAAAATATCATATTATTTGATAAATTGTTATTTAATTTTTTTTAAATGATGTGATATTTTTTATTTAAATGTCATCAAATAAATGACAGATGCACTAAAAATATACTGTACTTTTTGGGCTCCTCGCTCTATCTCTCTATCACCTTGGGTAGCTAGCATGTGGGATTTGAAATTGGTCCCTCACGTTTTTAGTAGAAAGGTTACCACTTGAGTCTTTAGCTATTGCTCAGTGGCTGCACTTGAACCCGTTCTAGCATATCGAGCTCCTTCAAATTCGTGTTCATTTGGATTCTTAAAAGAATTAAAAAAATTTAAATATAAAGACACTAAATTAAAGACTAATTTTACTTACGGTATATCATTAAGAATTATTTTTTTGATTTACTGCCTAAATAACCCAATTTGTTTCCTTTTCCTTATAAAATTACACTTTAAAAATAGAGGCAAACAAACAGACACGGGGTTTGGTTCAAACCGCGAAAGCATCAATGGCGACGAGCACGAGCAGCAGCAACAACCAACCATACAGACCCTACCGGCACCTGAAAACCCTAACCGCCCATCAACGCGCTGTGTCGTGCGTGAAGTTCTCGAACGACGGAACCCTCCTTGCCTCCGCCTCACTGGACAAAACCCTAATTATCTGGTCCTCCGCCACTCTCTCCCTCCTCCACCATCTCATCGGCCACTCAGACGGCGTCTCCGACCTCGCCTGGTCCTCCGACTCCCACTACATTTGCTCCGCCTCCGACGACCGCACCCTCCGCATCTGGGACGCCACCGGCGGCGACTGCGTCAAGACGCTCCGCGGCCACTCCCTCGCCGTTTTCTGCGTCAACTTCAACCCCCAATCCAATTACATCGTCTCCGGTTCCTTCGACGAGACAATTAGGGTTTGGGAGGTGAAGACCGGGAAGTGTATCCACGTCATCAACGGCCACACGATGCCCGTCACGTCCGTGCACTTCAATCGCGACGGTTCCCTCATCGTCTCTGGTAGCCACGATGGGTCTTGCAAGATTTGGGACACAAGCTCTGGTACTCTGTTGAAGACCCTCATCGATGATAAGCTCCCTGCTGTGTCATTCGCCAAGTTTTCCCCCAATGGCAAGTTCATACTCGTTGCTACTCTCAATGACACCCTTGTGAGTTTGTTTTTTTCTTCTCTTCTCTCTCTCTCTTTTTTTTTTTTTTTTAATTTTCGATTTTTCTTAATTAGTGCATAAATTTTGATGCTTAATTAATGGTTCCGTTGATTGGTCCAGAGAGTAATTCAGATGCCGTCGTTGCATTTTTCTGATACCTGTGCTTTATATTTCAGGGGTTTGGAAATTTGAGCTTGGTTAGGTCATTGATCTTTAGTGTCATTTTCTAGATATTTTTTCAATTGGTTTATCTGTCAGTTACTTTTGCTTACATCTTATGTTCACGTACTAATTTATGCTGGTCCGAACTCTCTTATTGTTATGGTTAGCTGTTCAAATTGAATCGATAGGTCTCTTGCAGGTTCTTTTCTTATCTTGGTTGTAGACTGTTTATATAGCAAGCACACATTGTCAGATCCTTAAGGTCTCTTGCTGGTTTGCTTTCTAGTATTATCTTGATCAACGTATTGAGATAAGCGATAACAGATAAGGAGTTGACCAATTGTCCTGCCCTGCTGGCATTTTGTGGTCTGAAGAGTTTGTATTTATGATCTTGTCTGGGGTTTTGGGGTTGATGAAATAGGTACTTCTATTCTTGTTGTATATCATTAAGCTAATGTCATGTCAGTTTAGCAGATTGCTGGTTTTCTTTGACATCTTGCCTGAAAAAATAAAATTTCTTGGTGCAGAAGCTATGGAACTACTCGACTGGGAAGTTTTTAAAAATTTATTCGGGCCATGTGAATAGAGTATACTGCATAACTTCCACATTTTCTGTGACAAATGGGAAATATATTGTTGGCGGTTCAGAAGATCGATGTGTTTATTTGTGGGATCTTCAGGCCAAAAATATGGTTCAGAAATTAGAAGGCCATACAGATACTGTAATATCCGCTACCTGTCACCCAACAGAGAACAAAATTGCTTCTGCTGGCCTCGATGGTGATAGAACTGTGAGGGTTTGGGTACAGGATTTCTGAATAGAGAACAAAATTGCTTCTGCTGGCCTCGATGGTGATAGAACTGTGAGGGTTTGGGTACAGGATCCCTGAATAATCGCAAAACTGTATGTGGATATGGTCCTCTTATAACCTACAATTTGATTTTCTTCAAGATTTCAACTGCATGCTTCCTTTTGAGTTTGGATGCATTATTATGTCTTGGTGGCTTTTTGTTGAGAGAGGTGCACCGTGCCCCCCCCCCCCCCCCCCCATAAAAGACAGGTTATACAAAGCATTTGTAATTCATAATGTAGTCTATTCTTTTATATACATTTTTGTCCTACATGTATTTAAATTTTCAAATTGAGTCCTTGGGAAATTTTGAGCTGCAAGAAGAACAAGGACATCGTCCTCTTCTGGTACAAGTTTTTTTTATTTTTTTAAAAATAAATATAATGATGTTTGAATCAATAATCCATTACAATCCGGTACAAGTTTTTTTTAATATATATAATGATGCTTGAATGTACAATCCAATACAAATTGTTGAAGCCTCTCACTACTAGGTCACCGTTTCCTCCACTACAAATTCCACCACAACACAGATCTCCTGGACTATTATTAATAGATCATCATCATCATAGCCAACTCTCCATAGACCCACCCGAATAGATCACTGGAGCGCACCAACAAATTGGACCCGGATAGAGATATCTTGGAGGATTTTACGGTTGAAGTAACGGTGGTGGGCTTCTTGTGAGTGGTGGCTTTTGCCGGTGATAAGAAAGGTAGTGGTAGAAGTAGGAGTGTCAATTTGGCTGTGCATTGTGGGCTGGGCTAAATTTAAGCTGATTAGTAGTTGATCAATTATAAATAGCTTAGGCTAGTACATTAATCCAGTCCTTAATAAATAATTTATTTAATTAATTTATATTGAAAAAAATTTGAACTAATTCTTATTTAAAATATATGAATATTTTTTTTAAAAAAAAAATTAAATAATTATAATATTTAATTATCATAGATTGGGCTGGGCTAGGCTAGTCTAGTCAAAATTAATTTCCTTAATTTTGTTAATCCATTTGTGGGGTTATTCTCGCTTACTTTGAGTTAGAAGACCCACATGGATTGAACCAACCGGCTTGGACTTTTCAAACTTACGATGTTTCTTGAGTCTGTAGATCCTGTCCTTGCACCAAATTTTCATTTCCTCTGGCATTAACAGCGGTGACAATTTCCTTCTAGTCCGTTTACATGACGATCACCCAAGGAGTCGGGTTGGGATGGTGAGAAGGGATTGAAATTAGATAGGAGAAAAGGGGAAGAGTTATGGAACAAAGCATTGGATTCGAAAGAGTGCAGGGAAATAACAAGTAGCAATGGAGATTTCTTTGCAAAAACAACAACTTTTTTCTGGCACAATTTTGTATTATTGAAATCTTAACACCAGACTTGTTTAACAAGTATCAAATGTTAAATGATAGCCATTGCATTGTGTTTAGCACATAGTCTCCAGAAGCAACATTAAGAAGGAAATAACCAGAAAAGTTTGTATTAATACAAATTCCGAATGACAATTCAGCATGACAACTCATCTCAACAGTATGAACAGAGAACAAAGTGCAGAAAAAAAAAAAGTAACCTAGAGGAATTATAGTACCTCTAATCACTCCCAAACACACCAAGGTATACCAATTTCCAGAATGACCCAACGATGATCCCCCTTGCCCCTGGTTTACTTCTTTTTAAGTAGTGTTTGGCAAAGTCCATTATCGATCTGCCTTGTGCTCATAAGTCCATTTTTTTCGTCTGCCTTGCTTTTCTTAATTCCACTTGAAAGTGGAGGCGATGGAGATCGAACTCGTGACCTCATGGTCAGTGAAGCTATGATACCATGATAAGCGTCACTTCAACTCAAAACCTGAAGACATCGAATGAGTGAGGCTAAATTAATTATTTTATATCTCTCCAACAATATTTTTTCTATACCTTGCGGACTCAACATACAAAAGAGTTAATGATCTTCTATACCTCTTCTTAAAATACACCTTTATGCCTGGTGTCTTATCACATTGCAATATTTTTTTTTTTTTCTCTTTTGTATTGTTTGAGCCCTATCACATGAAAAGTAGCAATATTTGTAATTTTGTAACGAGTAACGCTATCTACATGAGTAACGCTAATCCTGTCAGAATTTTTTTATACTTAGGTTATCTCATTGATGTGGAGTGACATAACAAAGGAACGACGAGCAACAAGCATTTTCCTTTTGTAATTTTCCAACATACTTTTTGGAATGAACGGGCACATTAATTTTCCAGATACTATAAATTAATGGGTTTTATTAATCTCCTTTTACATAAGATAATTATCTTACGTTGGAGAGAGAAAATGGGTGGGTCCCACCATTGTAAGAAAAAAGTAAAAGGTGGGATGCGGAAATCGAAGTGAGAGAAAATAAGATAAGATGTTGTTAAAAAATGAATTCTCTATAAAGTGAATACTATTCATCATAGTCATACCTCTAAAGTGAGGTGTTTATATACAGATGGCCTTTAACAACTAAGCCACAAAATCAGGAAACTAATTCTACAAATATGCTAACCTCCTAACAGTAAGCAACAAATAAACAAATTCGTTCCTATCTCAAGAAACAACATTTCAATTTTAATTTCTATTTTTAACACTCCCCCTCAAGTTGGTTTATGGATATCTGTCATGCCCAACTTGTCAATAAGTTTTTTAAATACTCTTACAGAGACACCTTTTGTCAGGACATCTGCAAGCTGGTCTTCTGATCGAACATGAGGAATCTGGATCTCTTGATTATCTATCTTTTCTTTAATAAAATGCCTATCCACTTCAACGTGCTTAGTCCTATCATGCTGAACTGGATTGTGTGCAATTTCTACTGCAGCCTTGTTGTCACAGAAAAGTTTCATGGGCTGATTATATCTAATTCCTAAGTCAGCAAGTATGTTTCTGACCCATACTAACTCACAAATGCCATATGACATCCCTCTGAATTCTGCTTCTGCAGAAGATCTAGCCACTACCTTCTGTTTCTTGCTCCTCCATGTGACAAGATTTCCTTCTACAAAGGTGAAGTATCCCGAAGTTGACTGTCTAGTGGTCTTGTCCCCAGCCCAATCAGAGTCTGTATAACCTTCTATACAAGCTTCTTTATTCTTTGAGAATAGAAGACCCTTTCCTGGTGAACCCTTCAGATATTTGAGAATACGGTATACTGCCTTCATGTGTTCTTCACTGGGAGAGTGCATGAATCTGCTTACTACACTTACAGAGTAGGCAATGTCAGGTCTAGTGTGTGATAAATAAATCAGCTTTCCTACTAACCTTTGATATCTGCATTTATCCGTTTCAACTTGCTCAGGGTATATACCAAGAGAGTGATTCATCTCTATAGGAGTGTCGCTTGGTTTACATGCCATCATTCCAGTCTCAGATAAGATGTCCAGTGTATATTTTCTCTGACACATGAATATTCCTTGTTTAGACCTTGCAATTTCTATTCCGAGGAAGTATTTCAGTTCTCCTAGACTCTTCATTTCGAATTCAGCAGCAAGTTTCTTTTCTAGCAGTCTCATTTCTTCTAAATCATCTCCCGTTAGAACCATATCATCTACGTAGACAACAAGTATAGAAATTTTCCTTTCATTCTGTTTGATAAACAGTGTATGATCCGAGTTGCTCTGTCTATAGCCAAACTTCTTCATTGCAAGAGTAAGTCTTCCAAACCACGCTCTTGGTGATTGTTTAAGACCATATAATGCTTTGTTTAGCTTGCAGACTTTATTTTCCTTCGCTTTTACTCCTGGAGGGACTTCCATGTATACTTCTTCTTCTAAATTTCCGTTCAAGAAGGCATTTTTTACATCAAACTGCTTCAAGGGCCAATTTCGGTTGGCTGCTATTGATATTAAGATTCGGATGGTGTTAAGCTTGGCCACTGGAGCAAATGTGTCTTGATAGTCTATTCCATACTTCTGAGTGTATCCTTTCGCCACAAGTCTTGCTTTGTATCTATCAATACTTCCATCTGCCTTTAGCTTCACTGTGTATACCCATTTACATCCAATTGTCTTCTTTCCTTCTGGTAACCGAGTTAAACTCCAAGTTTTATTACTTTGAAGTGCCTCCATTTCGATGTTCATTGCTTCCTTCCACTTTGGATTTTCCAATGCTTCCTGCACATTGTTAGGAATAGCTACAGTAGACAATTGATCAATCATTAGAGCATATGATCCGGAGAGCCTATGGGATGATACAAAACTGCTAATGGGGTATTTGACTTTTGTACTCAGGTCTGGTTCATACAAGGTTCTGGGTATACCTTTATTTTGTCTTTCTGACCTTCTGACTTGTATTTCCGGAGTTAAATTTTGAGGACTAGAATTAGTAATTACCTCAGTGATACTTTCTGTTTGTTCTTCGGGGCTGTCCATAGCAGGAGATTCGGTTATGGGTGATAGACATGGTTGTCCTTCGGGTGTAGGAGTTGCTGCAGTGGTGGAATTTGCTGGTGTAGGAGGTTCTGTAATTTGTGTAGGTGGTATGGTTACTGGAAAGTAGAGTTCTTCTTCTCTGATCTGCTGAATCTCCCCCTGAGAAGAAGGATTGAGAACTCCCCCTGAATAGAAAGCCTCGGATTCCCTAAAAGATGCTTCAAGAGTGACATGTAATTTTTTGGAAATGGGATCATAACAACGGTAACCTTTTTGGAGATCAGAATAGCCTACAAAGATGCATCTTTTTGCACAAGGTTCAAGTTTATTTCGCAGTGGTTTAGGCACATGAATGTAGACAGTGCAACCGAAGACCCTAGGTTCTAAGGTGGTGACATGAGGAATAGAGAAATAGGATTCAAGTTTCTGTTGAGGGGTGAGAAAGTTCAGGGCACTGGATGGGGTTCGGTTGATGATGTAGGCAGCAGAGAGGACTGCCTCTCCCCAATAGGATGAGGGGACATTCATACCAAATAATGAGGCTCTCACCACTTCTAATAACTGTCTATTTTTTCTTTCGGCTAAACCATTCTGCTGAGGTGTATAGGTGCAAGATGTTTGGTGTTTGATTCCTTTAAGGATGAGAAAGTCAGAGAATGGTTTATTTTTGTACTCAAGGCCATTGTCTGATTGAAATATTTGGATGGAGCTATTAAATTGGTTTTGAACCATGCTATGAAATTGCTGAAACAGAGAAAAGACTTCAGTTTTATTTCGAAGAAGTGAAATCCAAACCATGCGAGTACATTCATCAATGAAAGATACATAATAATGAGAATGAGAGAGGGAAGGAACCTTAGAAGGTCCCCATACATCTGAATGAATAACTTGAAAAGGAATACAACTTTTATTAGGACTGGGATAATACGAAATGCGATGGCTTTTAGCCAGTTCACAGACAGAACACTTAAACAAGGATGGATTGCACCTAGAAAACAGATGTGGAAATAACTTTTTAAGGGAAATAAAGGAGAGATGTCCAAGCCGTGTATGCCAAAGCCAGATTTTGGACTTATTTGAATCCGAAATTGAAACTGCAGGAGGAGTGGAGTCAGAGATTCTGGTAGCAGAGGTCAGAGGCTCTGAATGGGGATCATGTTGGAGGTCCAAGAAGTAGAGGTTGCCATGTCTAACACCATAGCCAAGAGTCTCCTGTGTCCGGACGTCCTGAAACTCACAAAATGTGGGCCAAAAAATCACGGTACAGTGAAGTTGTGAAGTTAGTTGGCTTACAGAAATTAAATTGAAATCCAAAGAAGGGACCACAAGGACAGAATTAAGAGTAATAGATGGTGTCAAAGAAATGGTGCCCTGACCAGTGATGGGGGCAGAACCACCATTAGCAGTGGTAATGGTTGATTTATTACAAGGAGAGCATTGGCTCAAGGCAGAGGCATCGCGGATCATATGATCTGATGCTCCAGTATCAATAATCCAAGCGCTATTACTAGAGTGAGCAGGGAAAGCAAAGGGATTACCTAAAATACCTTCGTAGACAGCATGAGCTTGAGGAGAGGCAGATGAGTCACCTTCGGATGAGGACTGCAGAGCTTTGGATGCAACTTTCCTTCGAGGCCTTTTGGTGAAGTCCCACCAATCGGGGTATCCAATTACTTCATAGCAGCGGGACTTAGAGTGTCCCGAATCACCACAGTGAGAGCAAATCAGTGGTTTTCCAGAAGAGAAATCTTTGCGAGACTTGGAAGAGGAATGCACCGTAGGAGAACGGGTGACCATGGCAGAGGAGTCTGGTGTGACAAGTGGACGGTTCATGGTGAGGCGTTGTTGATGTTCACGACGGAGGAACGCATAAGTGTTCTCAAGATCCAATTTTGGATCTTTACGAAGGATCTCACCGCGGGCTTGGTCGAACTCAGAATCCAGTCCGCTAAGAAATATGTAGACCCGCAGTCGTGCCATAGACGAGTGAGCTTGGGTTACTGCCGTGACCGTGGTTGCTGAGGATGCCACGCGGTGGTCAATCTCCTGGAAGATGGAGAGGAGATCGTTGTAGTAGGTGGAGAGAGGGCGGCCAAGCTGTTTAGTGGAGAACGAGCGTTGATGAAGCTCGAAGATGCAGGTTTCGTCCGCTCCGTCGTAGAAGGTGCGAAGGGCGGCATCCCAAATTTCGCTTGCAGATTCGAGTCGGATAAACCGTTGCATTAAGGGAGGGGTCATCGATTCAATTAGCCAACTCTTCACTCTCTTATTTTCGGTGACCCAGATGTCATATTGAGGGTCGGTGAGAGGAGGTTTCGCGGTAGCTCCGGTGAGATAGCCGGATTTGTTCCTAGCTCCAATACGCATGTCCATTAATTGGGACCAAAGGGGATAATTTGACTCATCAAGAATCACAGTGACTGGAAAGGAGGAAATATCTTGTTGGATGATGATATTTGGTGTCGGAGAAGGTGGAGGTGGTGGGGAAGGTGGCGGTGTTGGGGTGGAGTTGTCATCGGTGAGATTAGGGATTTCCATTGAAGAAGGAGAAGAGGATGTGGAGATACGATGCGGGTAAAGAAGGAAACCGGGTCGGGTAAAAGAAGTATGATTCGGGTAGGTTTAGGGGAAAAAATAAGCAATGTGGTGCCTGGATCAATAATAAACTGATACCATGTTAAAAAATGAATTCTCTATAAAGTGAATACTATTCATCATAGTCATACCTCTAAAGTGAGGTGTTTATATACAGATGGCCTTTAACAACTAAGCCACAAAATCAGGAAACTAATTCTACAAATATGCTAACCTCCTAACAGTAAGCAACAAATAAACAAATTCGTTCCTATCTCAAGAAACAACATTTCAATTTTAATTTCTATTTTTAACAGATGTCTCATGTGAAATGAGAGAAATATTTCCCTAAATTAATATACATAAATATTGGTGATCCAAAAACAAAATAGTTTTAATGTAACTGGTCTCTCTTCAGAGCTAATGAACATCCAATAGGTTTTTGAGATGACACGTTATTCCTGTGTCTCTCAAAATTAGGAACAATGATGTTAAATATATTGCCATAAATCATCCATGTTTTCCATACTAGTGATTGCATTTGAGCAAGTTAATTGGAATCTAGGAGTAAGTTCAACTGTACTAAATTCAATTTAAAACGCAGCAGAGAACATGAAAGTAAGCAAAAGAATTGATTTTAAATATATATTATATATTGTTCATAGTCAGGCATATTCTTAGATGGAAAAGTTACAAACGATGGTGAAGACACATTTTGGTCGCAGGAAGAATCAGTTATTTGTATTATTCCTAGTACTACTCAGTCGTGCTCATCTTTTTCCTCTCATCTCTGCCTCTACATGTATTCAACTACATAATAGAAGGTGTCGAGGCATTCATTCACACTAATGTAAATTGGATTTGTGATCATAGGATTCAGAGACATGTTTTGACAATTATCTCTTTCCCTCGTGTGTTCATAAAATATTTGACACGGTCTTCACTTGCTTGAGTATTAGATTAGCATTGAGAATTGTTCCTTAGATCTATGAAAAGAAAAAAAAAAAAAAAAACAATTGTCCGCACTAAGAAGCAGGTATCCAGTACTTTCTTTGATTCTGGTGTACGTATTAGAATTCAGATGCTTACACTTAATTTTAAAGTCACTACAAAAATGAAAATCTAACTACATAGCTATGCAAATGAGGAGAATGTATGCAAGATTAGAAAAAAAAGGGTCTAGTTTAGCAGTTTTCATTTACTCTGATCACATAATTGTTGAGAAGTGTGGCTGTCAATATCAATTTAACCCTCAATATAAAGAAAAAGAAAGATTTAATTTAACACCTCTTATTGACTACTCATTCTTCCAAGCATACAAAATCAGAGAGAATCCAAGACCTTGCAACTGGGAATCCCTAAACTGCTGAGAATAAGGCCATGTTAGTGCAGAGGGATCCGAAGCAGATTGGTCTGCCCATAGCTTCTCAGTTGAAATGCATGTTTGGAACATAAACACTGCATTGCCCATAGCATTCCCAAAGAGCCAATCATGCACATCCCAAAACACTTCAACCGGAATCCCATCCACCAAAATGGTGTGATTACCTCTGAATTTCCACATGAGTCGCTTCACCTGCATCACTGTCTTACTATCAATTTGAATCACGAGACAGGGATCCTTAAGCCCAACAGTGTCACACTCAATTTTGACATCGTGCACTTGACCCTTGTCACAAAATTGAGCCTTTGCACCATAAAACTTCTTCCCAAAAATGTGCTCTCTCTTTGCAATAAAAATGGCACCAGAGTGAGCATAAGCACAGTCACTATCAATCTTCTTGCATGCCTCATTTTTCAGATCCCCAAGGAGCAAGACCATTTCATGGTTGAACACAACCGCCAAATAAAACCCCTCCAATGGCTCAGGCCCAGAACCAAATTTAGCACAACTCAAGTCCCAAAATATATCAATTTTACCATATTGGACCTCCAAATTCTTCGACCCTTTTCTCTTTGAGAACAACCATGGCTTTATTTCAACCTTGCAGAGGCAATGATTGTCCAAGTCATCTATTCCCACACTCAAGCCTTGACCCATCAGAGTTTTGGTCCACGAGACTGTAATTAAGCAAGAACGGCCTCTTAATTTGCACTGATAGACACATGTAACCACGTTTTGAGCTGCTCTTGTGGTACTTGAAGAAGATGAATCAGCAACCTGAACACCATTTTCCCCAAAACAAGAAGGAAACTCCCTCATGGCAACAACACCCCAAGCAGGAAATTATCTGAACTCCTTTCTGATTTATCTATGGTTTGGCTAAGCCAAAAAATAAAAATAAAAGGATTTCTTTTTCTGCCAATAAAAGTTGAATAGGACTATATCAACAAAAGGGACTTCTCTCTCTCTCTCTGCTTATTCAAGGTGAACACAATGAACCATCGCTAGAATGTTTCAAGATTAGCTCCAAAAGACTTCACTTTTGACTTGGGTTTCTAATTCTGTTTCTTCAGAGTGGGATAGTAAAGAGAGAGAGGCAGAGAGAAGGGGACAGAAAAAGAGAGAGTAAGATTTGCTTTATCTGTCAATTATGTGTTAGAGACTAACAGGAGTAATAACCACAACACAAGGATTACTGATTAAGATATATGAAGGAACATGAAACACGGTCAGTGAAAGGAGAGGTTGCTTTAAGCACATGGGGTAGCAAGGATAAAGGCTATAATTGCCCTATGCTATTGCTATGCATAATGCATGAATGAAACAAATGCCAATAGGAGAATGGTATTCTGTTTTGAATCAATACTACCTCTTTGTTATTACGGGTGTTAAGTTATTATTATTTATGCAAATTTCATACATTTCATGTTTTTCTTTCTTCCTTTTCTTCAATGGTCAACATTCTATTTTATCGGCTACGTGATACTTTTGAAAAAAGAAGATAATTTTATCTCCTAACACTTATAAAAAAGTGGGTCTGGAGTTATATTTTTTTTTTTTCTCTTTACTTTACATGACCTCACTTTTATGTATGTATAGGAGATAAAAATTATCTCAGATATTAAACCTTTTTTTACAATTATATTCTTGTTAATTGTAAAACTGTAGTGAAAATTGTCAGAAAATTATGAAAGAAATAAATATAATGTTCAATCATTACTATTTTGTTAATTTCAATTATTAGTATATGTAATGAAAGGATTTTTGTAAAAGTAAAAGATTTGTAATCAAATTATTTTCTTTTGGACGTGCTAAAGTATATAAAACGAGTTTCGTAAAACACACATAAAAATATAACTTTTTCCCCATCTTTTGATTGTCTTTTAGTGTTGTAAATCAACTTTTTTTTCTCTACACTCCTATATCTTTGATAAAACTTAAAAGACATTTGCAGAGTCCAAATCCGTGCCAAGTTATCCAATCCCATGTGTGGCATTTGCCATAATAAGCGGGAGAAATAGTGTATAAGATGATCAAATTTGAGATTAACACCAATTAAACTGTTTTTTTTTTTAATAATGACAAGGTATTTCTCGGTTGGCAACATGAAGTATCGTGTGGGTAAACTTATGTATTGTAAGGCTTCAATTCCCACTAATTTTTAATCAATTTGGTGAAATTTCTCTTGACCCTAGAATTTAAATAATCCATTATCAAAGGTTGCTTTAGGAAGAAATTATCAAATTTCTATGATTACAATAATGCTCCATTGAAAAAATGGAGTGAGATACAGGAGACTTTCTCAAAGGTTCATACTCGCAGTTTGACCATCATATTCAATAATTAATTTCATGACATAATGAAAAAAACATCTTTGTTAAACCAAACAAAGGGTTAGCTACCCTTTTTTTTTTTTTTTTAGTATTCAAAGGGTTAGCTACCCTACCTAAGGACAATTAGATAAGGGACGGGCCAACGGCTTGGAGTTTTGCTTGTTGGCACTGTTATGAGACTACTCAGGCCTTTTTCTACTGATTGTTTCAGAAGTACTAGTATTTGAAAATTGGTCCCAAAGTGAAGTTTGTTAGAAGAAAATAGAGAACACAATTCTGATGCCAAATATTAAACAGCCAAAACTCTTGTGTGGTAGATATTCTTGATGACGTGTTTCTCCTCCTTTGTTGACTTGATTCTCATTCTTGATTGATAAATAGAAGATAAGCACGAAATTGGAAGGACCTTGGAACTAAGAATAAGACAGTAATAAGTGAAGAAAAAATCCTAATGGTAATTCAAGTGGGACATTCTCCATAACAAGAATTTAATGATCCAAAGTGTGTGTACATTGCATTCTAGACAATAGACATGCCATCCAATTGCATGAACCTGATTCCTAGTTCCTAGGGTAATATCAGTCAAGAGTGTGAGACACAAAGTTACATGACAGATTGACAGGCCACAGGCCTCATAAACTGTATAGTCACGAGCAACATTTTGTTAGGAATGGCCACAAAGAGAATCATTCAACTCTCAAGAGGACACTGATTTTTGCTACATGACTGAAGGCTCAGGACCCATCGCAATGAAAACCCTTTAATATATCTTCTTCATTAATTGGCCTGAAAATGTTAGTTTAGAAGTTCCATTTCCAGTCTACAATGCCATTCATAAATGTACCTGTCCACGGTCAAACAACACTTAGGAATCGTTGTACAGTTCATTTATATACAAAAGATAACTTGTACTGCACAAAATATACAAAAAATTGTATATATATAATGGGTTTAATAAGAGTTATGTTGTAGGAAAAGTGATTGTGTTATGTTATAGAGATTCGTTTTGCGTGCCAGAGTTTTTTTTTTGTTTCAAAAATTGTGGGTCCTACAAAATGTTGTATGTGTAGGAAAGTTGTTGTGGTCATGTTAAATTATAGATACAAAACCCATATATAATAGGGTTAAAGACTTAGTTACATCTTAAGAATTTCTTCTCTTACACATACAACGATAATGGAATCGACATATTTGTTGTGTGTATAGAAGAAGGTATTATTCTCTTGTAATATGAAAAATTTTAACCCTATATAACAAGGTATTTAATATTTTTATGTTGTAAAAGATAATTTTATTTCCTACATACATATAAAAATATATGGGATCCATATCAGCTCATGTGATGAGAATAGAGAGAAAAAGAAAATATAGGCCGCATATACTTTTATGTGTGTCCAAGAAATAATTTTATTTTATATTACATAAGAAACATTAATCCCATGTAATAAAGAGTTATACTTGCAAAACAACAAAGACATGAGTGAAATGATTAAAGCAAATGAAAAAGTCTATCAGACAATACATTGCTTGCAAATCCAGGTTAATTGATCTCTCCTACAGTGTTAATGTAACCGGAAATGGTTTATCAAAGAAAAAGGGGTTAAACTCTAAAGTATAAACAAGGGGAGTTTATTACATTTTGTCATGCTGTCCCCCACCCTCTTTGTAATAAGAGCATTTAGATACCTACCAACCAGTGGCTCTTAGCAACAGCAATAATGGATTTTATGGGGTTTTGTTGGATTTTATAGATATTGAAATTAGGATTGACACCGAGGTCTTTGATAAGCCTTTATCAGCAAGTCTTGCCAGCTAACCTCCACATGTGATGAAAACACCAAGTCATCCCCTAAGGTACTTGTCAAGTTCAATGGTGTCATCAACATGTCATGTGGATTTTTTGTTTTGCCATCCAACACACATGATATACGTTCGTTGCCCCTTTTGGTCCTAAATTATAAATCCTAATGTTGCTTTTTTTGCCTACATCAAATCTTTTATGCATTTTGATTTCGAACCAAAATTGCTTTCAGCCAGAGTTTAGAAATCACTTGCAAAAATGTGGGTGAAAAGCAACACTTTTTTTTTTTACAATTGTAGAAATTTCAAATCATGTTACAATCCGGAGCAAACATTATCAATTCTTTCTGGCTTTACGTAACCATCATTGCGGGGGTGCCTCATCATGATACATTTTTTGAGGTCAATGGCCACGATGAGAATTTTAACATAAAGGTCGTGAAAAAAATAAAAATAAAAGAGAGTCACGGGATGAAAGAACAACCAAATAGCTTGTCTCGGTGCGGATTGCCAAGCATTTTTTGACTGTCGTGCGTTTTAACGTTTGACCGTAAGAAATCCCTAGATTTGGTAAAAGAATTAATTTTTTTTTAATAAAATTCTATTGTTATTTTGTATTTTTACATTGAGATTAACGTTTGAGATAAAAAAAATAAAAAATAAAAAATTCTCTCTTTTCTTTATATAATCTCACTTTCATATTTGTATAGAAGATAAAATTTATCTCGTGAGAAATATTATTATCTGTTACATTTACCGAATACTTGAATCTATTCAATCTTGGTAGATTGATTTAGACAAAAAAAATTAAAAATAAAAAAAACCCAGTTAAATTTGACCAGTTTGAATTTTTTTTTATTCCAAACCTAAATCAATCCAATGCATGAACACCTCTAATTACCATAAATATCCTTCCAAATCTGATTTGAATAGAATGAACATTTCAAGAGAACGAAATTTTCTTCTATACTACCGAGTTGGGTACAGCATTTTCCTAAATTGGAAATTTCTAATACCACTTGAATCCAAGTCTTTTCTCATAATTTTTTTCAAATCCAAAAATTTTCTTTTTTTAGAAGTCATGTGTGGTGCAGCAGAAGGTTTGCTCCAAGAGAACAGACCACCACGGACAGTAAAAAGAAAGGAGTCCATATCCTATGAATTAATTGGACTAACAGAGACAAAAAGACTAACTGCAATTGGATAAAAGAAAAATAACAAAATCTTTTTCCGTACATACAGAAAACATATTTAAGATTTGCTTCTTCTTCTTTTTTTATCTTGGCTAGAAAGCATGGGCTTGGACTGACAGGTATTGTCACAGTGACACTTTCTCCTAGCCCAGTTCAAGCCCATCAGATTAAAAACGTACTGAGCATAATTCTGTTTGAACACCTTTTCACTGCAAATTTGTATAATTCAGTTAGTAATGTGTATTTCATATTCCAAGCAAAAATCGTATCGTAGACTTGAACTACAATGAAAACGTGACATATTACAAACAACCTCCTTCAAGTATAATGTAGTAATATTTGACCCCTTGAACTATTGCTTGTTACGATTCAGTTACCTAAACTTGAGCATTCTTATGTTGTGTTTGGTTCAGAGTTTGGACCCAAAATCTCATTCTAAATATAAATTTTGCCTCAAACACAATGTATAATGCGTTTGGCATCACTCAGACAA